ATTGCAACTTCAAAGCAATAAAAGCATTTTTCTTATGAATTATAATTGTATAAAAAAGTTTTTCTTTCGTAATAATGCATTATTACAAGTTGCATTTTTACCTTCAGTCATCGAGGATTGTGTTTCCAAAGATCTGGGAACTCTTTGCTCCATCAAACAACACCGATCTAGTTCCACTGTTTTGGTCTTTTGAAATGGTAAACAAAACTACATAACCTTTTGATCAAGTATTCGATGCATCAACGTGGCTTCTGATCAAGTGTTCGAATGTACAGCTTTTATCAAGTCTTCGATCTCTATGGTTTCTGATCAAGTATTCGAAGTGATCCTAAACAAAGAAGCACACTGACGTACGATGAACTGTACCATGACGAGTGTTAATTAATCCCGTCATAATTTTATCCTTTAATTCTTATTTTGACAAAGAATTGAGTCAACAAAACCTTGWATTGAGTAACTGGGATATTATATGAGGAGTCAAACAGGAGGGGTGATGTTTACTCGAGAAGTTTACACACAGAATACTTATCATTCCACACTTATTTGAAATAGGTGAACGTACCCCTCCGCCTCCCTCCCCTCCCCCTCACACTCCCCCCTCCCTCCCCTCCCCCTCTTGTTATCTTTATGACGCTCTTGTCATAAGCATCATAATTTGAATATTTTGTCAGTTTGTCAATGTGTAGTTTGTACCAATAGCTCCATTTCACTATGACGTCACAACAAATCATGTAGGGGCAGAAGGGACAGAATAAAGAGATACTACGTACAACAAAACCGTCCTAATATGGAGGACATGGAGGACGTCAACCTCGTTCCCAGGCCTTCATCATTCCGCCTGACCCCAAGCGAACGGATAAAGGTCCTGGGAATGAGGCTGGTTGGAAGCACATGGCTACAGATTCAAAAGAATTTGAAACTATACTCCAAGACATTCTGGGAAGCTTAGGCGTCGAATCGATTTTCATCAGGCCATGCACTTTTAGACCGCGTTGCATTACAAATCACTATCAAAGAAACGGGTTCGCGTGCAGTTAAAGTTATGCAGAAATGATTCAGCTGTACGTACAAAAGTGTTCCGGAGTCACTTGATAGGAGAGGTAAAGATGGAAAAAACTCAACGCTGATTGGACAGTGCTGATCAGAGCAACTGAGGCATAAACAAATTCAATGCATCAATCAGTTTCAACGAGTGTACGTATAGTTCGTTTAGTATGTTTATTATTACAGCAATATGTAGTTAAATTATGATCTTTTTTGTTCGTATTTCAAGTGTACATAAAGTATATTAGAAATTATAGGATATCATCGCCAATATTTCTCTCAGAAAGTACTAGTGCTAGGCAACTGCAAAAAGAATTGGCTACGGTATCCCATAATTTCTGATATACTTATGTATAATTGGAAAGAGTCAAAATGATCAGAATTTCTGCTATATTCTGTATACTAACACACGCGAAACGTTTTTATTATGCAGGGACCTTTTGTCTTTAACTCTACTCAATGTATTGAAAGATTAAAAGTTATATTACAAACAGGTCATTATCAAAAATACTAAAAAATACACACAATCTTGCGAAAATCGGCGAAAAGCATGGGTTATCACGTGAGGGAAATTTCCCTAATCAAAATGCGTCTTCACCTTATAAGGCACCTGTCAATCATAACACACCCTTGATCATGGGACTSCACAGCAGGAAGTGAAGCTAYTTCGAGCAACCGAGACAAAGTTTCTGTAAGTAGTGTCAGAATCTGCTGAAATTATCGCATTTACAAGCATCTAAACTTGATTTCCAAGATATATTGAAGTTAATCTTGGGTTTTAGGTCACATATTGCTAGTGAAGTATAAGGAGCCGAGTTTAAACGATACCAGCTGCATAACAGGAACTTCGACAAAGTATCAAGCAAGCATACAAAGTTCGGGTAAGTAGCGTGCTTAAATTATCGCATCTGTAAGCATCTTAACTTAATTTATAAGATATAATCAAAGAAATCTTGGCTTTTATTGTATTTATTGCAAGTGAAGAACACAAGCTAGCGATGTTTAACAATATCGTCGATATCAGCTGTTGTCGAAAGCCAAATCTCGCTCGAGCTTGAAACTCTGACGTGAAATATTTTAATACAATTTACGACCCTTTTTCATGTTTTCTTTCTACTCAATTTATTGACAACATACCTGCATAAATATCTTACTAAAAGTCATATTATAAAAATTACAAACGCACAGAATCTTCTAG